AAAAGTTTTCTTAGAAAACCTAAAAGTTCTTTGTTACCTTGCTCAGAATTCTTTTCTCAAAACTAATTTAATGTAAATTAAATTTTCAAATTTTGTAATTGTATGTTTTTTATTTTCATCAAAACTCATTTAAATAGGAAAATAGCATAAAAAAATAGTTGTTGGTCATTAATAATTTGATAGAGAAAAATCAGGATGTATTAAAAAATATTTATTCTTCAAAACAGATATATTTTTTCAAATTTGAACTGCCATAATCGATTATGTTACCAGTATAATCAATTATGATAGAGAGAAAAACGTTTTTCCATTTCTAATGCATCATAATTGATTATGATAGTGAAAAATGTCATGTTACAAAATTTTATCACACTTGTGCTTTGGAGACTTATGCATAATACCACTTCATCAACTTGTACCTCCATATCCAGTATTCTAATACTCTATCTAGTATTCAAGAATCATCTTGGGCTTGCTTGAATCTTGAATGTTGTTAACTTAAATCATCATCAAAATCATCTCTTTAGGGCAATCCAACAGGTCATATAGTGCCTTAAGTTAGAACCTTCTTTTCTTGCATGAGGTTTCACATTGTTATCAATCTCCCCCTCATTGCTTTCAAAACTTAGTTTTTTTTTTTACCACTCTAGTGACAAGAGTGTTGCATACAAATGCATGCCCATGTTGACAATAAAGAAAGTAAATTGCATAAATTGAAAGTAAAATAATAAAGGAAAAGAGAAAAAATCTTACCAAATTGCACTATATATAAGAACTTGAAAAGTCTAATTAGGAACTAGAGAGAAAACAAGAGAACATGAAAAATTATATTAAAACTAAAACATAACTTATCTCTTTTAATATTATAATACATATTTATATAACAACAAACATATTAAAAGATGCAAGGCCCGTCAAAACCCACAACACAGCAAATTATAGAAGTTCAGGACTTGATTTGTCAATTTTCTAAAAAAATGGTTTGCAACTTCTCACTCATCACTTCTTAGTTTGCTAAGCAAAATAGTTAGTTAAGTTAGTTGAATCAATCTGATAGTTTTGTGCAACGCATTGTTGTTTTGCTAGGTGGATTGACCATTTCTGAAATTAGTTTTTTGTCCAATATTCGTGGAGCGAAACTATTCTTTGTAAAGCAAAAATACTTTAAAGTCAAAGTTTTAAATATTCTTAAGTTATCACTTCTTCCTCAATTGTTCGATAAAATATGCAATTTAATCAATAATTTGACTAAAATCTATATAATTTTATTTTCCTATTACTATGTTAACAATAAGTAATTAAAATAATAAATATATATATATATATATAGAAGAGAGAGAGATTAAATTATAGATAAAATATATTCACCAAACATAAATCAACTTCATAAAGAATATACGAGGTGAATAATATATAAAATATTGACGATAATATCATCAAAAGGGGATTGTAACGTAGAACTACAATCATAATCTTTAATACAAGAACTAGTTCATAAAAATGTACATTTTTAGCATACTATACAATACATTTCTCCTCAAAATTCATAAGATGAAGTAAATATAACATATTGTACATTAATATTAATGTCGTTTTGAAATCAAAATATCCCAAGTTTTCTATAAAATTTGTAATATAGGGATTTTGATTTAAAACACAAGAATTCAATGCAAGAAAGAATGAAACCAAAATGAAAGTAAAGAACATGAGAAAGAGTTGAAAAAATGAAATGCAAGAATGCAAGATTTAAACAAAAACAAAGTTGAAAATGAAATTAAAAAAAAAGATTAATTCACAACTTCAAGATTTATAAATTTTATCATATTATAATTCTCTAAAGGTTTAAATTAATATTTGAACAGTTAACCAATTCAATTAATTAATTTGATTAAGTTAAACATATCATTTAATCTAATCTATATTTAATTATCAAAACAAGATTCAATTAATTTTTAATTTGAATTTTAAAAATTGGGAAGGTAAATTAATATCATAAAATGAAAATTTGAAATCAAAGAGAAGAAGAACAAACTTGAAATGTTTAACAATTGATACAAAACTTGCATGATCTTAATTATGTGCATTGAATCATAAGATTTAGTTCTTCGTAGATGAAGAACAAAAAAATACAAGAGAAGAGAATATGAAAAGATAATTCTAAAAAAATATTAAGGGAAAAAGAGAGGGAGAGATTTTCTAAAAATAAAAACTAAAATAGAATGAATTAATTGTCTTTAGAGCTTAATAAGTCTAAAGATAAGTTCTAATTAGTGTTTTACAAATGGATTTAAATTAGAGCTCTTCTTAGATTCATAAGTTCACTTACAAAAATTCAAACTAAAACTAAAAAAACCAAACTTATAGGAACTCATTCCTATACAAAAATATAGTGAATTTGCATCAACTTCCAAAAATCATAAAAAATAGCAAATAGTCTCCAAATCCAGCCAACCATGAAACTCACAAGGTTAAAATCCAATGCAGCTAGAATCATTTAAAAATAATATCTACAATGAAAGTTTTGACCCAAAAGAATAAGGAAAGTTTAAATTACAAAAATACAAAATTAAAACAATTATATATATAAATAATGAGTCCAATTTATTACAACTAAGAAATAATTTAAAAACTAAAAATAAAATATTTGAAAAGTATTTTCAATATATAATAAATGTATGAATATGCACAATACTTTTTTTATTTATATTAATTTTATATTTCTTTTCAATAATATGATACACCACAAAAGTATAAAACATAATAATAAAAAGCTTATCAACCTGGACACCATACAGTCTTTAACTACAACCAAAGACAAAGGTTGAATCACATATAATGAATAAGAGAATATAACAAAAAAAATATATAAAAGCATGAGATAATATAAAATATATTTTATATTTTCTTATTCAATATATTTTATAATTTATTTTAATATTTACGAGAAAAATTAAGTGGGTTCATAATTATATATAAAATATTTTATTTAGATTATCATAAATTTAATGAATCATTAAATTTTAATATCTACCAAAATTTGGAAGGATTAAGATTAATAATATTCAAATACTTTAAAATATTAGACTTAATTATAAATAAAATCAAACTCAATCTTCTTGATAATATTGAATTATTTGTTTTATCCAACCTAATAAACACCTTTACTTTTTCATTGAAAAAATAATTATCCTTTTTATAATAATATTTCTTAAAATCAAAAGTTGTTCCTAACTTTTTCACGTCCTCTTAATTGGATTTTTTAATAATATATAATATAATATTTTATTTTTAATTATATTTATATAATAAAAATATGATAGAAAATAGATTATTGTTTAAATAAATTATTATCTTTATACAATAAACTATATTATATATATTTTATAAATATACGTAATTAAAATTAATATATATTAAAATAAGATAATGTGATAAAAAAAGTAGGATACTCAAACTTGATAAGGTAATATAAATAGAATTCATAAAACTATATATATCATCTTATTTTTAAAGTAACAAATAATAATAGAAAATAAAAGAATTACATTGTTACATTATTAATTTTTAAATTAAAATATTTACTGGATTTTTATTATTGAATATATTTAATTGAATAAAATAAATAAATAACAATAAATTAATTAAGCCATTTTTAAATTCTTTCGTCTTTTTTTTTTATATTTTCTTCCTTTTATTCCATGAACTAGATTTGATCTTATGACTAATTTATTGTAGAATTTAACCTTTTGATTTTAATAATTTTAAAAAGTAAATCAAAGTCCATCATAACTTTAATTTTGATAAATATATATTTTTATTTTTTTATAAATTTATCGTTATATTTATATTTTTAAATTGATGAATTCAATCTTTTAACTTTTAAATATATATAATTTGTTTTTTTATATAATTTAATATTTAATTATAGTTTTCCAATGTAATACAAAATTAAATATAATTTTATTTCTAAATTTGATACGTTATAAAAATTAAAGGATAAAAGTTTGAATCAATCTCATAAATAATACCATTAAAAAAAATATTACTTCAACATAGTTTCTTTAAATTTATTTATCCAAAGATATATTTACTGTTTACTCACAAAATTAAGTGAAAATAAATTCGTCTCTCGCATAAAGTAATTGTTTTTTTTTCTTTTTTTTCTCTTATTTTTTGTTTGTATTCATTTAATGTTGTTATAATTATTAAAAAAATATTTATTTTGAAATAATTTTTTAAGAAATATTTTTAAAATTACTAATTTGATTAATTATCATAATTCAATTTAATTATAACTATATTAAATGGTTAATTAAAAATATATCTAATTCATAAATATTTAATATTTTTAATTAGATGAGTAATTATTATTATAATAAAATAATTTTAAATTAATTATTTATGTTATAATAAATAAATTTATTTATTATCAAAATAAATAAAATTATTTATTATATTATAATTTTAAATAATTATTTATTATATTATAATTTTAAATAATTATTTAATATTTTTTAGTTTTAATATTGATTTTAATATTTTTATTAAATTTTAATATATTAATTTAATCAGAAAAAATGGAGAGAAAAGAGCAAAAATAAAAGACTTATATTAAAAGAAAAAAAAGTGAATAAAAAAAAGTATATATAAATAATAAACAAATTTAATTAGGTAAATAAGTATATATAAATAATAAACAAATTTAATTAGGTAAATAAATTGATAAAAAATTTATTTGAGTAATTGTTTTTTAAATACAGTCAATAAAATAAGTAGATTATAAATTTTTTAATATATATAAATTTATATATATATATATATATATATATATAATTTTTAAAAAATTTTCAAATTCTAATAGTAGTTTGTTAAATTTTTAAATACAGCGAATGAAATAAATTTTGAAAAAAAAAGGGTAAAAAATATATTTAATCTTATAATTTTTAAAAATAAAAAAATAAAAGCCAATCTTTACTGTGGCTGAAGTTGAGGTGCTTAGCATGGAGAGGCCAAGCGGAGATGTTGTCCTGCTGGATCGTGCATCCCGAGCCACTCGGGGCAAGAGGTTAACCAAACTCCTTGACGAAGAAATCCAAGAAGATGAATTGTTCTGGAGCCAGGACGCTCTTAAAGAGGAGGACGAGGACGATAACTACCAAGAGGAACCTGAAATCGCCGATGAATTTGACTCTGATTTCGACGAGGATGTATTTCACAACATCTCCTTTCAACTCTTTTGCTCTCTTTTTCTTTTTTCTTTTATAATTTAACAGTCACACCATTGATTAACGCTTTCTTCAGGAGCCGGAGCCCGAGGAAGAAGAGCCTGACAAAGATGACGCTGATGAGAGGTTTCTTTTCCTCCTTTTTCTTGCCTCTTCCTTCCCTGTCTTTACTGTTTTTTATGTTTTTTTCTGTTTGAAAGAATGCATAAAAAGAAGCGACTGGTATTTCCGGGGAAGACTCTGGCTGTGAAGAAGAAAAAGAAGAAAATTTTATCGAAATTGGAAAGTTCTCCGAAGGAAGAGGAGGATCATTCTGGGAAGGTTGCTGAGGAACAGCAGGATGACGCTGGAGAGAGAATGATCAGAAAGTCCACTAGGACTTCTGTCATCGTTCGTCAAGCTGAGAGAGATGCCATTCGTGCAGCTCTCCAAGCTACAATCAAGGTCTATTATTTTTCTTCTCATTCTTCTCACTGCATGTGGTTTCCTTAATAAATGGTAATTTCCATTTGTTAAACTCATGTGGGATGTACTCTTGATAACCACTTTGCTCAATGGTTTAGTTGTTTTGTAGTTGTGCGATTTACCTGCTCCTCAACCTTGTGAATTGGGGCAGTGGAACATGATTCATTTATTTATTTCTTGTGATAAAGGTTTTATTTTCGTTATAATTTGTGATCCTAGTCTGAAAAGGTTTTATTTATTTTTTTGGTTTTGGGGGCTCAGCCGGTCAAAAGGAAAAAGGAAGGTGAAGAGAGGAGGATGACACAAGAGGAGATGCTTTTAGAAGCTGCTCAAACAGGTTATGATTATAACTGTTTAACGTCTACTGGTTGCGTGTTTTTCTTGTTTGAGTTTCCATAGGTCCTTCACTGTTTAAATTATAATTTTGACTTTCTAGAGATCATGAACTTGCGAAATTTGGAGCGGGTTTTGGCTAGAGAGGAAGAGGTTAAGAGAAGAGCTATTGTGCATAAAAATGTTTATAATGGTCCCCAGATACAGTACATTTCAAAAAATGGTAAGATTCCTTATGGCGTAAGTACAATGATAGTGTCTTTGGACACGCACTGCATTTTACCTACATTCTTAATTTGTTAATATTGGTTGTTGTTGTCATTTTTTCATCTGACTGTAGGTTAATCTTTCCAGGTTGTTCCTATTTAGAGTTCATTAAAGGGTCATCATTCCACTCAGAGATTGCCACAGGGTCTGTACAATGTGAGTCCCTCTTACCACTTGTAGTTCACATAAGATTGACAATTTGGTTTATTTTTATGTTGAAGAATATCATATGTTCTATTTCTTTACCCATTAATGTTGCAGTGAGTAAAATTAAATTCCTAGTGAAATTGCTATAGCATTGCTTTTACACTTGATTGGCCAATTAAATGAGTTTTTTTCTGATTCAATTTGATTTAGTTATTGATGGCAACATCTGACTTGCATCGAGATTTGAATTTTAACTCATACCATTTGTTATTGTAATGGTCAAAACTCACTGGACGTTTTGCTGATGATATTATTTTAGTGGTTTAGATTAATGAGATTGTAAATGCTGAGCTAGAGTTGCACATAAATGTTTTGATCTTTTGGAAACCAGTGGATTTTGATTCAGTAGCTCAAAGACAAAATATGTGGAGTTTAATCTTGATTGGAGAGTGGATAGCTGTACCTAGAACTGAGTGCTTTGGAGATAATTCAGGTGTACCTTATAAAATAACTGAAGGATTATTAACGATGTCAAATATAACATCCAAATAGGATGGATGAACTAGAGAAACGTTTTAGGTGTTTGTGTTACCTTGAAATGCCTTACACTGATATAGAAGATTTGCCAAATTGTAGTATATGCAATTTTTGTATGTGGATATCATCAAAAAAAGATGAAGGTTGAAAAAATGAGAATGAAGCAATGGATGAGTGTATATGTCAGTATGAAAAAGTTAAGGAATGAATTCAGAGGTAGAAGGTTGGTGTAACTTGAAATGCCTTACAATGGTAGAGAAGATTTGCCAAATTGTAGTATATGCTATTTTTTGTATGTGGATTAGATACCTATGAACAAAATAGATGAAGGTTGAGAAAAATGAGAATGAAGCAATGGATGAGTGGATGTATCAGTATGAAAGGGTTAACAAATGAATTCATAGGTAGAAGGTCGGTCTAACTTCTCTACATATAAATGACGGCTTCATTAGGGAACAAAATTTAAATGGCAAGGATATGGTTAACAGATGATGAAGATAGTTTTGGGATGTGAGGACAGATGACTACCAAAGACCTAGGTAAAATGTGAAGTTAAAGATAAGACGCCAATTTAGAAATGGGTAGAAGGAGGTCAGAAACAGTGTGATGAAACTGGAAAGACTTTTAAGAAAAATAAAGTTCCCAGCTTTGAGAATATATTGAAACATGATATGATAGAAATTCAGAAAATATAAGATGGAAACTGCAGAATAGAATTAAAAGAACAGAACTTTATTGAAGAACAAAACAGATATGAAGAATAGAATTCTCCCCAAGGGCTTCTCCTTCTCCTTTCCCAAAGATCTTTTTCCTTTTGCTCACAAACTGTCAAATTCACAGAATACCCTTCCAAATTTTGATTCCCTTATTTACAATTATAACTGATCTCTTCTAGCAACCAACTAGTCCAACACTCTAACGAACTAATGACTAACTGCTAACAGCTGTCCTTATTCAACTCTCATTTTTCATCCTAGCATGATTGAGGTCAATGGAAGGCTTAATAACCTGCTTTCTTTGCCCTTCATCTGTCCATTCTGAATTTGTGGTGCCTTTGTTCTTGGGACTCATCTCATTCTTCCATGGAGATTTATTGTCGCAAGAATCTGAGTTGTTATCTCCTACATTAGGCTGTTCAAGACCTTGTTTTCTCATTCTCCTTCCTAACCGCTTTTTATCTACTGTCATGTCTGTTGCTATCATCTTTTTTCTATGAGAAATGTGACTCCAAAGATTGAAGTTGGATACTATGCTTGCTGGTCACCTTTTCTAATGCTTAAATTTTTCGTTCCATCTTATTTTCTCCCTGAATTTGGATCCAGCTGGTCAGACCAAGTGATAGAACTCTGAGAAAATGAGATGAAAACCATAGAGAAAGAATCAAAGAACTGAACTTTATTGGAGAACAAAACATAAAATGGTGAATAAAATTCTCCCCGTGGGTGTACTAAAGGACCTTCTCTATCACTTACAAAAATTATCAGATTCACAGAATGTGCTCCGCAAATCTGATTTCCCCTGTTTATAGCCAATCTCTTAACTAACTAACTAACTAGTCCAACTGACAACTAATGGACAAACTGACTAACAGCTGTCTTTATTCAACTCTCATTATACATCCCAGCATGATCGAGATCAATGGCAGGCTCAATTCCATGTAGCTGACTCCACTCAGCTGGACTTAGACTTGGGTATTGTTGTATTATTATTGCAACATACCAAGAGTGTCCAGATCCCACAGAAAAGATGGCCATATAAGAAATATTGACTAAAATTCAGGTACTTGTGTGAATTATACCTCCTCTACAATCTTTGTGGTAGATTACTAAAAGCACTATCTAGAAGATCTTAATACATAATTAAATTACTACATCTGCGTGTAGGACTACTCTGGCCTGGTGGGTTGGAAGAAACATGTGGTAGGACTAAAAATATTAAATAAAACATTAATATAAAGAATAATATGCATATTCTTTTCTCATTATATTGTTTCATTTTGAAGATAAAGGTTCAATGAAGTGCGTTTTAACCTTCTGTTTTGATGATGAAGCAAAACATGGCTCCAAGTAACATTATTATACAAATTCTATTTTATGTTTATGCTTTTTTTTTCAGATCCAGAAAAACCTGTTTGCTCGATTACTGGTTTGCCTGCCAAGTAAGAGCTCATTTACCAATTTGGTGGTTCTTTCTTTTTCTTTTTCTAATTTTTTAGTTCTTGGTTAAGATCGTCTTTGGATAGCTTGTATTCTTGTTATTTATGTTATTAAGACTTGAGGGGTTTTTGGGATGGGAACTCTCTTACGGGATTCTGATTTTATATAATCTTTGTGGGATTAATGATGATGTTTTTAAGTTTGGAGATGCATTCCTTGCTTGGAACAATCAGTTTTATGAATATGCATCAAATTGTTTCCACTTTTTTTGTTTTTTTTTTTTTGTTTTTTTTTTTTTTTGTGATCAAATTTGTCAGATTGTGCTTTCTTTCTTAAGAGAGCACTGAACGGTTCTTGCTTGAATTTTCAAATTGCATCATGCTTAACTACTGTTATGAATTATGATTGTCATCGATTATTAGTAAATCAGTTGGAAGATTTTCCTTAGGTTATTCCCACTATACCCACATATTGTTAAGGAATTCTCTCTGGAATAATGTAGGTACCGTGATCCAAAGACTGGCCTGCCATATGCTACAAAAGAAGCTTTTAAAATAATTCGAGAACGGTATGCCTATTCTGGTTTGCAAATAGTCTATTTTTTTATGATAGTATTTGTCCCATTTCCCCTTTTGAAATAATTTTTTTAATAGTATATATTTAATGTTTTATTCTTTTAGCTAGACTACTGATTTACAAAGTGATTTGACTAAACAAATATATTTTTGAGAATTCATGCTAATCTCTTGATTTTTGTTTTCCTGGAGTGATATGGTCTAAAAGTCCAAGATAGATGACTTCTGGACCAGATCCTACCCGTGTGAAATGTTGCTATTGAAGTTACTATATTATAGAATTGTTTAAATTAAGAATTTTCCCTGAACTTGACATTTCCTTTTGTTTTATTCCTTAGTCTCTACTCTTTACACCAAAAAATCCTTTAGTTTGGTTGTTTATGACAAAATGTTTACAAATTAGTTCTTGTTATTTGTTGGTGTTATATAGCCTTAAATTTGGTCCCTGTAGTTCTTCTGTATACTTGACAAAGTATCTTTTCAGTCTATGCATTTTGGTTGTAACACCTTTTTCTTTCTTTTGATCCCCACTTGAGAAAGAAAACTCTAATATTGTTATAATTTCATCAAATGGTAGGACCAATTTGTAGACATTATTTTATCTAGGAACCAAATTGAGGATTGCAGAAAGTAAAATGAAAATGTGTCAAGTATAATGATCAAAGTTTTACATGTATAAAATTTATTTTGACTAAAATGTAGAATACTTTTGCATTCAAGTGCAAACCAATAGGCATGGTACCGGTGTATCATCTTAAGGTAATATGATTGATAGATTGAGGCTTAACTATAATCAATCACTTCTTATATTTGTTCTAGTTAATATTTTTCTTTTCATTAATCTTGAAGTCGGTGGGTGTTTCACATAAAAATTGTTATAACAAGATGGAGGTGTGAGAAATTGTTTAGACCGTCAATAATAATTATGGAATTATTTGACTTGATTCATAAAAGAAATAGTACATGGGTATTTAAAGGAAAACGTAATCCTAATAAAAGGAAATAAATCTCCTTAAATAAAGGAAACAAATCTCTTGGAATAAAGATTATAAATCGGGCAAAATCTACCAAATAAACTCCTAATCCAAATCCCTTAATTGTTGGGATTTCATTCAAGCAAATCTATATTTATTACACAATAAAAGTACAATATATACACCCATATTTCGAAACCCCCTCTCAAGCTAAGGAATAAATATCCTCCATTCCCAGCTTGCTTATGAGATTGTGGAAGTATGACGTATTGAGTCCTTTTGTCAGCACATCAGCCACTTGCTGTTTGGATGTAATATACGACATGCATACTAGACTTTCTTCTAATTTTTATGATGAAATGTTTATCTATTTCAATATGTTTTTTCCTGTCATGTTGAATGAGATTATGTGCAATGTCTATTGCTGACTTATTATCAGTCGAGCTTCATGGGTCCCTCCAAATTAACCTTCAAGTCATTTAAGATAATTTTCAGCCATAATAACTCACATAGCCCTTGTGCAATGGACCTAAATTCTGACTCTGCTGATGATCTTGCCACCATATTATGTTTTTTGCTTCTGCATGTCACTAAGTTCCCACCTAGGAAAGAACAATATCCAGCTATTGATCTTCTATCAACAAGAGAACCTACATAATTTGCATCAGTGTAGGCTTCAAGATTTAGTCTTCCATTTCTTGTGAATAATATTCCTTTTCCAGGGTTGCCCTTTAAGTAATGTAGAACCCTATAAGCAGCTTGAAGATGAGATTCCTTTGGTTCATGCATAAACTGGTTGATGACACTTACTTAATGCTCTTCCTTCTTGTGTAAACTTCGTTGAATCTTGAAAAATTGTGGATATTAACTCTTGAGGCTGAATCGTTGATAGTTCTAGTATTTTCTAGTTGCAATTCAATGGGTTTAGTAACTGTTGAAAGTCTCACATCGCCTACCTCATGTCATTTGGTATGGTTTAAATACATGTTAGGCTACTCCACATATTGCCAATTGATTTTATGTTGGAACCTTAACATGGTATCAGAGCCAAAGCCTAACATCTTTCCGGTTATTGTCATGGGCCAAAAGTTGTCATTTAGTTGGGTCAAAAGTATCCTTTGTCTAGTCCGGCAGGCTTCGTTGGAGGGGGTGTGTTGAAAGTCTCACATCGCCTACCTCATGTCATTTGGTATGATTTAAATACATGTTAGGCTACTCCACATATTGCCAATTGGTTTTATGTTGGAACCTTAACAGTAACATTCTCATTTTCAACTTCTAATTTTGCCCCAGAATTAATTTGCTTAGGTGAAGGTTTAGTTGGAGCATATGACAAAAGGGGATCAAATTGATCATCACAATTTTTTGAAAAAATTTCTTGGGAACAAGCATTGGAAAAAAAAGATTTAACTTCAGTGAAAATGACATCAATGGAGATATAGAATTTTTTAGATGAAGGGTCATAGCATTTGTAACCTTTTTGAGTTGTTGAATAACCAAGAAAGACACATCTAATCGTCCAGAGATCAAGTTTGTCTCTATTTTAGTTATGGATATGTACAAAACTTGGGCACCCAAATATTCTAGGAGTGAGACCATTTGCAACCTTAAAGTGAGGAAAAAAAACTCTTCAGGGTTTCAATTGGGCTTTGTTTTCTAGGATATGTGTGGGAAGTCTATTTATCATATATGTAATAATGAAGACAACTTCTTCCCAATAAATTTTTCGGAACTTTCCCAGTGAAAGAAGTGTTCGGATAGTGTTAAGCAAGTGCCTATTTTTCTTCTCCGCCACTCCATTTTGTTGGGGAGTATAGACACATGATGAGTTCAAATTGTTAGATTCACAAGATTTGTATTTACTAGATTGGTATTAATTAATTGTATTTTTTCATCTCTTCTCTAATTAATGTATCTCTACAATCTTCCATTATAAATATGTGGTGATTTGGGTTGTGGAGGGACACCCAAATATTATAATATTTCTCTTTTTTCTCTCAAGTTGATATCAGAGCAGGTTTAACCTGCTCTACCTGTTTTGGTTTTGTTTGGCTCATCGCCAGTGGCCGCCGACAGCCACCAATCGTCGTCACCCGCCATCGATCACCGTTGGCCACCGCCACTGCCTGCTGTCCGTTTTGGGTTTCTCTCTGTTTTCTCCTTTTCTGTGTTGTCTTATCTCTTTCAAGTCAGAAATAGCTTCTGGACCCATCCCAAAATTTTCTGATGAGAAATACCAAGAATATTTAAAGTTGAAACGGTTGGAAGTCCCACATCGCCTACCTCATGTCATTTGGTATGATTTAAATACATGTTAGGTTACTCCACATATAGCCAATTGGTTTTATGTTGGAACCTTAACATCTTTCCTAAAATACTATTTGATTTCCCACTCCCCCTCAAGCTGGTGAATAGGTGTTTTCCATTCCCAGCTTGGATACAATCTTCTCAAAATTGTGGCAGCCCAGTCCCTTGGTAAGAATGTCTACAATTTGGTCTTGAGAGGACACATATGGAGTGCATATCAAGCCACTATAAAGTTTTTCTTTGATGAAGTGTCTGTCTACTTTAATATGCTTTGTTTTATCATACTGCACCGGGTTGTGGGCTATGCTGATTGTTGACTTATTATCACAATAGAGCTTCATAGGTTCTTTCCATTTTATCCTCAAGTCTTCTGAGATGATTTTAAGCCATAGCAACTCACATATACCTTGTGTCATGGCTCGGAATTCCGCTTCAGCACTGGATCGAGCCACTACACCCTGCTTTTTGCTTCTCCAAGTCACAAGATTTCCTCCAAGAAAGGTGCAATATCCTGTAGTTGACCTACTATCCTCAATTGATCCTGCATAATCAGCATCAGTATAGGCTTCAAGCTTCACATTGCCATTCCTTTTGAATAGAATTCCTCTTCCTAGAGTTCCTTTAAGGTATTGTAAAATTCTGTGGGCAGCTTGTAAATGGGTCTCCTTTGGGTTATGCATAAATTGACTAATTAAACTCACTGCATAGGCAATATCTGGGCTGGTATGCGACAAATATCTAAGTCTGCCCACTAATCGTTGGTACATATATTTTTCAACAATATCTTCTGTATTCCCAAGCTTTAGGTTTGGTTCTAATGGGGTACTAACAGGTTTGCAAGCTGCCTTGCCAGTTTCCTTGAGCAAATAACTGATGTATTTCTGCTGGGATATAAATATCCCTTTCTTGAAGTGGGCAACTTCAATTCCCAAAAAATATTTTAGTTTTCCCAAGGTCTTGATCTCAAATTTCTTGCCTAAGCATTGACTCAACAATTGCTGCTCTTCTTTATTATCTCCAGTTAATATTATGTCATCCACATACACCAATAATATTGTTACTCCCTCTGACTTGGAATGTTTAAAGAACAAAGTATGGTCCCCTTGGCTTTGTTTGTAACCCAGATCTGTCATAACTTTAGTAAACCTGTCAAACCATGGACGGGGGGCTGTTTTAGCCCATATAATGTCTTTTTCAACTTGTAAACAATGTTGGCAGCAACATCTCTACCATATCCTAGAGGTATCTCCATATAAACATGTAGGAAAGCATTCTTAACATCAAATTGTTCCAAGTTCCAACCATAATTGGCAGCAAGGGACAATATCACCCTAACTGTGTTCATTTTGGCAACCGGAGCAAAGGTCTCCAAATAATCAACTCTACAGGTTTGGGTGAACCCTTTGACAACTAGTATTGCCTTATATCTCTCAATTGATCCATCAGCCTTGTATATCTCACTCCTTCATATCTAAATCCTTGATGACCAACAGAGAAAAAATCATGTTTTATCATTGTCGGTTGGGACATCCCTCTTTTGATGTGATCAAAATTATGTTTCCCTCTCTGTTTACCAAGTTAGATGTTGAGAGTCTTCATTGTGAGGTGTGTGAACTTGCTAAGCACAAATGTGTATCTTTTCCAATAAGTAATAGAATTAACAATTTCCCTTTTTATCTTGTTCATACTGATGTATGTGGACCTTCTAATGTTCCAAATGTGTCCGGTGCTCGATGGTTTGTCACCTTTATAGATGACTGTACAAGGGTCACTTGGGTTTTCCTACTTAAACAAAAATCAGAAGTCAGTTCTGTCTTCCTAAACTTCCACTCCTTGATAAAAAATCAGTTTGGTGTTAATCTTAAGAGGCTTAGGTCAGATAATACCAAAGATTACTTCAATCATGTCCTTAATTCTTTTTGTCAAAAAGAATGTAT